ATAAAAGCCTTACTTCCACAGCAAGTCAGACTAGAAGTATTAATATTGCTCCTTATTTGCTTCCACACTATGGAATTTGCCACTCTGTGTGGTCAAATGGCTCCATCTCTGAAAATTTTCAAGGCTCAGGCTCCCATGATGTTCACTATTAAAGGGTCTCCCGCACGAAGTCTCAGAGCACGTATGCTTTTGAGATGTCGTGTGAACCACATGACCCCAAAAGGATTTCTTATTTTTAAACCAGGTCATGACTCCAATAACGTTCATATTCCCAGCTGACAAGAACACAGATCTCACAAACAGCAGGGACACCACAGCTTGAGAGCTTTCAGAGGCTGCCATGCCAGCACCGGTGAGCATCTCCAATGACGGAGCACTCTTTGCAAGTCACTCATGTTTAAGCAACACAGGAGCGCTGTCTCCTCATTGCAGCAGGGAGAAGGTGCTTTTCTAACAAACATTTATAATTTTATTTTCCAAAGTTTTGTTTATAACCCAGCCACTGGGTTCTTGCTAGACTGACTTTTACCATGCAAGAAACATAGTTAGGGGGCTAACTTTATTAAATAAATACTTAAATAACAGTACTACTTTTAAAGAGAGACTTCAGTATCTCATTTAACTGACTTCAGACTACAAATGTGCCAACCAGGCACAAGATTGCATTTACTTTAAACAGGCTACCTCACAAAGGGAATGACTGCTTAGTTTTCTCCAGGTTACTGCGAACTCATAGCATTTACATAATTTACAACAGATTTCCACTTGCAGAGCATCTTGTGCTCCAAAGAACCAACCCCCCCTTCAAAAAACCAACCAACCAACCAAACAAAAAATCACATTGCAGATTTATAGGCAGCTGAGGCCTAACTGATTCACTTTTGTCATCAAAAAGAGGCCACTTCTTGGGTGATGCATGGCAACAGTCTACACTAATCAGAAACAGTGAGCCTGTTTGTTTATGGCAGTGGAGGGAATTCAAAGCCTGGATTTTAAAACAGAAAGATCACTACTGAGCAATGCTTTCCCCAGAGGGATGTCCTCACAACTTGAGGTTGCTGTGCAATCAACACCAAGAATGTGCTAAATCCTGCAGTACACTAAAAGTATGCTTTTTCTGTATTACAAGGGTTTGACGGTAAAGCTATACCTGAGTAGCATTTACTGGCGAAGGAGAGTTTCAGCAAGTTTTAGTCACAGAAATTAAAACAAATTATACCATCAAAATATGGGGCCAGGACTGAGCTTCTGCAAACCATGCAGTTTGTTCATGTAAGCAGGTGAGGAGTAACGGTACAGTTGATGGAGTATCTGTGAAACTTTAGGGTCACCTTTGCGCATTTTGCCTAACAAAACTACCAAAGTCACAAGTCAATTTGGAATGAAGGCTGAGAAATGCCAGCCAGGAGTATCTGAGCCTTCCTCTGAGGGTCATGTGCACAGAGGGAAGTGCCAAACTTGGGTATTAGGTTTGCGTTGACCATTTGCATATTTATAGATATGTGCTCTACACATAGCCTGGGATCGGTGTCATTCTAATAATAATCTTCTGCGTGGCATATTCTGTATGGCTCTAAATTCATCTTCCCTTACTGAAATGCCAGAGCTCAGTCCAGTCTGCACTTATGAAGGTCATCATAGGCAAAAAGATGATGTGGGGAAGTGGAAACATAGTACCAGTGCTTCCCTTAGACCCAGACTCATTCATAGGCAGGTATTTCCCTGCTTAAGGTAAAAAAACCAAAGTGTTCTTGTATGCAAGTCTGCATACAAGGTAAAAGTGCAGTACTTGGATATCACTTAGATACTGGATTTAACAAAGAACATCATATTGTGCGGTAAGGAAGGAAAGCCAAGAATAACAGTCAGAAGGATATAAAGATCAGTAAGTTTTTGTTCAGAAACTGATATAGCATAAGAGTGAGTCAGGAAAGCATTTGATATAGAACATCCCTTTGAATAACCCTCTCCTTCACTAATCCCCTTCTACAGATGCATAACAAAAGCCATATTTCCATGCTGAAACATGCATACAGTACCTCTTAATTCTCTAACATGCCAATCAGGAGCAAAGTGAAAAAAGGAAGACAAAGGAATAAAATTAGGATAAGCGCAACATAGAGGACTCACATTCAGTAAGACTCACTCACATTAATTAACATTTCTTTTAAGAAAAACATTCAAGTATATTTAGCAAACACAGCATCTTTGTAAAAAAAGAAACAAAACACCACGATGAAGATAATTCTAATAGCAGAGGGGGAAGAAGCCATGGTTACAGAGCAAATCTGACATCATAAATCATCATCAAAACAGAGAGGAAGAATTCTTCACTGACAGTCAGCTCCTACTCCCACAGATGTCAGTGACAGAAGCTGCCAACGTCAGAAGTGTAGGATTCAGATATGTAACGTGAGAAAGGATGAAACAAAATTATTACAACTGAGATTAAAAATAACACCTTCTCCTTCCTCCCATAGCAGAATTCATTTTCTAACCTGTGCAAACAAATCAAGCGTTGTCTAGATGAGGAGATGGATGGAGCTAACTCTTCCAAGATTGCCTACCATGTCAGGTAAAGATCTGAACTGGATGTTCTGGTCTCAGGCTTGTACTCCATCCCAGAATCAAAGACAGCCTTGTGTCCTAATTTCTCAGTTTTTGAGGCTCCAGAGACTGTCTTACAACTCCCTGGTTCCCCATCACCAACAGGTTCACTGGAAAATTCTTCTTTGGCAATATTCTACCTCCATCTGTCAGATCAGTGGGACAGAAGGGAAGGAAGAGGAATTTGATACTGACCTCCGCAATGTGCTGGGTTCCTCTTCATACATGAATCCAGTGTTCATTACTTCAAAACAAAGCCAGCACTTCCCTACATGCACTGCAGAGCACTTGCACCAGGCCCCGGGGTAGCTGAAGGCTTTGGTGCACCCCTCTTCCTATCAGCTAGAAAGGTGAATCACTGCATGGAGGCTGATCAGAATATGATGTCTGAGAAAAACTGTGATCAGAAGTATCTGCTCCCCTGTTTTCCACAGAACACTGAAATGTCTTGAAGCTCTTTTTTCCCCTTCTTTATTCTCCCCCTTTCTAGGTCCCTTGGCACGATACCTTTTCTGGTGCTGTCCTGTACATTCCTCTCTTCCGGCCACCACCCCGCAAACTGAACAGACCAGCAAGTACGCACAAAGCGGAGCTGATCCCTGCAAAGCCCGGCCGTACTTCCAGTACCAAACAAATTATGGGCTTTCACACCTGGGCAGCTAGTTCTTCCGAAACACCTTTGCCTTCTCCCATGCCTTCAGAATACATCACTGAACAGGAGGTGTTCCTCTAACCTTCTATTCCGGAAAAATCACTATTCAGTTGATGTAATGCATTTATGAGGAAAAAAACCCTTTCTGTTGTTAAGCCTTTTTTCCATCCAAAATATTTTTAGCATATCCACTTCCTACATATTTAGGCAATAAATCCAGTTTCCTTCTTAATCCTAGAAGTGCCAATCAGATGTTTTAAGCATCCCTTTGGTGAAAGAGTACAGCCTAGTGGCAGGAAAATGAAAGGTGGGCCTGTTTCACTTCTCTACTTGCCTGTTGAGACAAAGCTTGACATAGAACTTAACATCACACCAGTTACAACTGAAAGTTACTTTTGAACTGATTACAAAAACTGAATGTTCAAGTAACTGATGTATCATCAAAAAATATTAAAAGGGAAACAGCACAGTAAATGCCACTGATACAGCTGGAAAAATGATCAAGTTTTCGTGTTCAGAATCTTTCTCACCCGAGACATTTTATGAGATACCTGATGAAAGGGCACAGCTTAAAGTTTGATTTCTGGACACATCAGCCACATGAGACATTACTTCTCATGCTGAGGTCCTCTGTTACAAGATGGAGAGAGGGCAACAAACGAAGGCTTCTGTGCCACAGGCCCCTGGATCTGAGCCCTGTCTGAAAAAGGGAACCTGGAGAGCAGGAGAGGGGAATTCACAGTTTCACTGATATTCTTCTAGCTTGTGACTTACCAACCAGGCTACTACTTGATGAGGGGGATGGGCATCTATATAATGCTGCCACACCAAATAACTGCTTTTTTTATAAGATCACAAAAGCGTCCCATAAATCTGCAGTCCCATGAACTAGGCTGAAAGAACAAACTCGTATGCCCCAGCTAGAGAGCCACCAGACAATGACAGCTATTCACTGTCACTCTACTGATGAAGTTTTAATGAAAAGTCAACATCATCAAATGAATTATATCAGTGAGATGGAAGCTGTGGGGATAGTGGTTGTTTCGTCTTTTGGGTTTGTTTTTTTTTTTTAAGATCATTATTACTAAACTTTCAGGAGAAAAGATCAACAAGATAATATAAAATGATATAGTAACTTGATGTAGTAACTCTCGTGTCACTGATGCTCCAGGAAAGCAGCAGCACCAGCAGCTGGAAAGTCACTCGTTAACTAGAGGAGTCAGAAATAAGACCAAGGATAGTTCTGACCCTTCAGACTTAATACCTGCTGTGCAAGTTTCTTGTGGTTGCCAGTACGTAGGTCAGGCATAAATGGCAAACACACACACTCTGAAAATGAGATGGATCTCATTCATCCTGCCTACCACCAAGGGGACTGAATGCCTGTGTTTGACTGAAGGCTTGCCAGTTCTGAACTGTGAGAATTTGATGGAATTGCTATGAAAAAGAAAAGAAGTAAAGCCAGAGACACAGAGTCTGAGAGTATACATATATCCTATGATAGCACTTGAACCCGCCTTAAAATTGCAACAACATGCTAGTAACAATAATTTTCAGACTTTAAAAAAAACAAAACAAAACAAAACAAAACCCCACCAAAACCCAACCAACCTAAAACAAAGTCTCTGTAGCCCTCCAGGGAGAGAAACAAAGTGGCACTCATGATCATCTGGCTAGTCTTGTCCCAAGCTCCTGCAGCGAGCACCCATAACAAAGTACGAGTAACATGAATGCTCTGTACCTGCATCTTCCTCTTGACAGTTTCAAAGGGGAAAGAAAGTGTCTGTGCCACACCTGCTGCGACACAGCCATTTATGAAGTTCTGAAGAGGAGTGAAATGAACTACAGGTTCTCGCCAGATTCTGTCCAGATTGATGTAAACAAAGAATGAGCCTGCAGAAAATGGGACAGCACCTAGAAAGCAAACCAGGCAGGTTTATATCAACACACTGTACACGAAGAAAACAGTTGCTCATCGCATAACCTAGAAAGATGGGATGAGCTGCTGCCAGTTTACACCTTGCATTGCTCAAACCAGATCAATATTTTGAAGAACTTTACTTTTTAGTCACTGGTTTACCACCAAACAGCCATACTGTAGCATCTACATGTGCTGCTGGGGGCATATATTTACATATTAAAATGTGCGCATTGTCAGAATTATTAACTGCTTTAGTCCCATGACAGGTCAGCTCTTTCTCCAGGTTATCTCTTTTGTGACAAGCTCTTTCTCCAGGCCAGCCCAACCCTAGCAGTTGTACAGGTAAACAGAGTTGCCTCTTCAGACAAGCTGATCAGGGATATTTCTTTCCTCTTTTGCTTGTTTCATGCTGTCATCAATTTTATAGTGGGATTATATATTATTATTATTATGCATTTTTTAGAATGTCATATTGTGAAAAAGTGGACTCAAAGTTAAATGGCATTTTAAAAAGCTATGAGAGTAAATAAGTAATTAAAAAGTAATTTCATGTAAAGAGAGAATATCACTAATCTTCACTTTTCGCATCAGTTATACATTAATGCTCGTAACTGGTTTCACTGAACAGCTAGGGAGACAATCTCACACCTAGGAAGGAATTAGGAACACTCTGTGTGTGCGTGTGTATATATATATTTTAATTTTTTTTAAGAGTCAAATGGTGGAAATCTTGCATCCAAGCACAACTAGATCATCTAAAAAAGAAGGAAAAGAGTATTTTGTTGAACACTTAACCATACGTAAAATGCTACACATTTGGTCATAATTTGAAGCAATAAAGCTGCAGCAGAGGTAATGAGTATTGTTGTGCCTTGTAAATGTACCTACCTTCCACAGAACAACATTACTATTTGCTTTTGAAATCAAGTGAGCAAATGAATGCACTGCACAGCTGCAATAAACAACGTGCAATGAGGTGATTTTTCCCCATTATTATTTTACCTAATATAGCTGGTGAAACGCCACGGTAGAGTGCAAGGAGTCCTTCTTGATGATAAATTTTGTAAAATGCATGAAGAATTCCTTCGTAAGATGGTTCCAGTCGGTTCTGCACAATGAGCCGTGTTTTAATTACGTCAGTGGGGTAAGTCACGATGGTTGCAACCATGCCAGCCAGACTTCCTGCCATGATGGCTCTCCAGTGGGAAATATGACCCAACTCGTCCGTGAAAAGTATAACAAGTCTAGAGTAAACACACAGAAGAGGTACTATTAATGACAGTATGAACAAAACACTTGAAAAATTAAGGCAGATTATTCTTGATGTAATTGTTCTTCTGCCCACAAGCCCCTTCAGCAGCAGGAGAAACTTTAACATGTATTTCATCCAAGACCTTACTATATATAACACCACACAAGCATCGGAACCTCTATAAAACAGAACATTTGAACGGGCAAACATGAGCAGGGTCTGAAAAACATGCCTAAGAGCCCAAAGAGATTTTGGGTAAATCCATGCTGCACAGAAGTGCAGAAATGCAAAAGTTATAGTTAACAACAAAGTCAGGGACTGGAATATAGAACTCAGCGAATGCAATTTGCTTTGATTTTGGTGTTACTGACCTAAAATACTTCCACTACCCAAAAGAGCTTTTTTAGAGGCAGCTTGCATGGCTCTACCTGCAGCACAGTTCCCAGCACAGACTAAGCTCACATAGCTTGAGTTGCGGTACTGTGCTGGAGGTCCAGAGCACCAATTCAACAACAAAAACATCTTCAAAGATACGGAGACTAATTGTTCAAACTATTTACTTGTTTGCTTTGCAAGAGACTTTCAGAGTAATTTTTGACCACAGAATCGTCATTTATATTTCCATCTACACGGTTAAAATTGCCATGACTTAAAAGATATCTGCAAGAAATTCTCTGATCATCAGTTAGAGACATTGGTCCAACCCCCCAGTCAAAGTTACCATGTAAGAAGTATTATGCAGATAACATCATCACAGGCCTTCTGGGAACAACTGAACCTTCCTCTCTCACTTATGTTGGGACAGAAAGGTCCACAGGGATACTTCTCTAGAGAAGACTTATGTCCAGGCACTATTATGCTCAGGAGGTTAAGTCTAAACTTAAAATTTTGAAATTGAAGCACAAAGTTTTAAAGGCTAACCTACAACTCATGCATTTGTGATGCACAGAAGGACTTTTCTATGTATGCAGGGTACTGCCACAGCAGGGAGAAGTGTCACAGAGGCAGCAAGAAGCAAGTAAAAACACTTGAGAGGAGAATCTTAGCTGGAGGTATAGAAACTTCTATTCTATTTTGGAAGCATTCACTAAACTGCCTAAACAGCAGATTTACATTTAAACTACACGGTGTTGTCATGTCCAAAACAAAATAATTTTCAAAGATTTACAAGTCACTGCTTGCTCGGTTAACGTTTTTTCACACGAGCGTGCATTTTCTACTGCATGACAGATCCCTGCATCTGTTTGTCTTGTGCCCTGGAGAGACTCCAGAGCAGAAAGACTACCCAAGCAGAAGCGAAAGGGCATAAACATTTTTTTTCCTACGTGTCTTGTACAGTCCCTAAAGCAACACAGCCTGATTTTCCTGTGCGTGCACGAATGCGTGGGGAGGGTGGTGAGGTGTCTCTAGGCGCTACCCAGATAACATTTAAAACCGCCACGGAAAGACAGAGTCTGTGCGCAGTAACCGCAGACGGGGTGCGGAGTCAGCTAAACCCCCCCTCCCCAGCCAGCTCCCCCTGCGCCGCCGTTCCTGGGGCTGCTGGCTGTACTCAGCCCAGGTCCTTCTGCAACTGGCGTTACTATTTACTTCAGCTACCACATAACACTTCTCTTTTTGTGTTTCTTGCCTTTATACACATCATTCTTTCACTAGAAAACACATTTTAAAATTCTCAAATAATGTATCAAGAAATATGTGTAAGCAGCTTTTATTTCATTTCCTGGTAGCTGACTTCCACTTGTAATTCAAAAGAACACCCTATCCAAACTATAGACAAACTATAGCCTCGCAAAGGGAATACACTGTTTCAAGCTGAACAAATGATGAAGTTATTTTGCTCAAAATCAACTTGTTTATACCGGTGCAACACACTGACTCTTCTGGGAACTTTAAATTCCATTTAAATCACTGTTTCTGCTTCCCCACTGCCATCATCCCTCCCCTCGTTCGACCGCCTGCATTACAAGTATGACAAGCTGCATTACGCTGCGTTACAAGCAGAAGGACACAACAAAGCTGCCCGACTCCAGGGTCGCTCCATCGATCATTTCCTGAAAGGCGGAGGCAGAGCTGGGAGGATGACTCTTGCTCAGCCCGATGAAGGACAAACCCCAGCAGGCTGCGCAGCGTCAGGCTGGGCGAGAGCAGCAGCGGGACGGATTGGCCAGCGCCCGCTGGGCCCACGCTTCTCCCCACCCAGCACGGCCCACGAACTGGAATAACCCATCGCCCAGCTGGGCGGAAATGTCAAGTGGATGCCATGCACACAGCTGACCTGAATTAAAAAAAAACAAAAAACCAAAAAAACACGAAGGAAAGAAAGAAAACGAACCCTCAAAGCGGCAAAACGTGCTGGTGCATGCGAACAGCCAGGCACTCCTTTCAAAGGCTAAAAGACACTGGCAGCAAAAGGGAATGCTAGGAAAGAGCGTGGGTTGGCAGAGCTCAGTCAGCGCTGCTCCGTGCTGCTCCTGCTGCAGTCCTGCCGGTGTTTACCTTAATTTAATGCCTGTGTATTATCGAAAACAAGATCTTGCACCGAATAATGTCACGTATGGACTTCAAAACCGATCGAATTCGCCTAACAACCGCTGCATAATAGGGTAAAGAATGTGAATCGTGGTTTTGTTATTTTCTTTGATACGGACAATACAAATACTTGAAAGCGTATAAATGAATGAAATAAATCGGTTGCAAAGAACAGACGTGGCAGTCACATTTGCAGGCAGCACCGCAACTTTGTTTCTGAAGGAATCTGGCTGAGCAGAAGAGATTTGACAGACTATCAACCCCTCGTCATTTGGAGAACACCTCCGACTTTGTAAGCAGTTGCTGGCACATCACCGGGCCCTGAGAGTTGCTACGCGCCGAATAAAGTAAATAAAT